TTATCCATACTGACCGTGTGACTATTCCGCTCGTTGGCGATCTTTTCCGTCTCGACGTCATTCTCCTCCTTCTTCTCCTTTCTGACCGTCAAATTCAGGCCATTGTGAGCGACCGCCGAATGGGCTTCCAGTGTGGCTTCATCTGGACATCTTGCGTCACACAGCGAGCATTTGACGGTATCCGTATCGAGCTAAAAGTGCCACACTTCAAATTATTTCAATAAATAGGAGAAGAAGCGTCGCTTTTGTTGGGTCCCCTATAATGAGCTGCAAGGTCAGCTTTCAATGATAGGAGAACTTGCTGCCAATTACTTCAGCCTAATTACTGTACCACTGCACAAGTGTCAGCGACAGGCAAGAGGAACTAGACAAAAGGTGAGACCTTCTGGGCTCAAATAACAAGCTGGGTGATAACAAGCTTACCGCTTTATAGTGTAACCTTTCTTACTGTCATTACAATACTCATATCACGATTCACCCCTTCTACTAGCGCACTACTCCTTTGGAAGCACAGTCCAACGCTGATTGTGTGGGCGGAGACCACTCACCTTTCACATAGATGAGCTTATCCCTTTGCTACGGCATGAGGGGAGGCGCACCAATGACGATAGCACGATGGTTGCTTGTCTCCGCCCACACGATCAGCGTAGACTGTGCCTTTAAGTTTATTTTCACTTCACCTACACATAGCAGATCCCCAGTGCCCGTAGGCAGCATGCTGCTGTGTGGGACTACCAGGGCGGGAAGTGTCTTCGACGGGAACTGCGGTTCTCCGGGACAAAAAGCTTCCTAACTAACAAACTCTCCTTTTCCGGCTGTGTAGGGGAGGAGCGTACCAATATGGAGGCGTCATGGCTCAAGTGAATACCCCCCTTCTTTACCGTATTATCCGAATGTCCTGCAAGGCAGCGCTAGGTGCATTTTTCGTAGATCGTGCAGACCCACAAACTGATCACCAACCTGATTAGCCACCATCATCTTCAGCGCCGCTTCTGTGGTAGCTCGAAGAGCCGCATCGCTGTTGATTTCAGCGCCGGATTCCCGTGTCGCTTCATTCATCCGCTCATGTCGCTCAACGTGCATCTCAAGATTCCTTGGGTCACGAGTCGAGTACTGACATCGCCGGCATCGCAACACCACCGTGGTCGTATCGGACGCTTCTGAAAACATTACCGTTTTCTTCCAGGGTTCTTTCAACATTACCTGCTGGGAAGGAATCAGTGACCACTTACTTTTCACAGTGTCGACATGCTGTGATTGTTGCAACAACTCGACGGTATGTTGATTAATTTGATGCAAATGCAACTCCATTTGATCTTTGAACGTTGTCGGGCAGAACTTGCATTCCCTCCAACGAAGGGCATGCCGCGAAGCGCTGCTTGGGTCCACGTACGACATACCACCACCTCCGGTATGTTCAGCTTGGATATGATTGGTGAGATTTGACGCTGGCATACGCCGTTCGCACAGCGGACACTTCTCCAGTTTCTCGTCGCCTGCCACGGCCCCACTGCCACCAATTGCTGGTGACGACATCGTTGACGGTTCTGAAAAATCAAAACTTAACATTATAACCTGCAATAAGCGGTCTTTCCCGGATCATGCGAAGATTCCACCTATTTTAACACCCACCCCGCCCACTCGTCGCGCAAGCCAACCCGCAACTCGTAGCTCCCCCAACCAAGACGAACTTTACATTCATTTGCGCGATCATTTTCGCTATCGCCTGCCAACCAGCCCAGGCTCTGACCCCGCTGCCCGTACTTCTCGCGTTTTTCTGTCGCCTGACGAAGAGCACTTTGCCCCCAAAGAAAAGACTACAAGCGTGATTTACTCTTTACACCATTTTCACCTCTACATCAATCATTATGCACATATCAGTAATGCAATACTGGTAAAAGAAAAGTGTTCCCTGCTGATAAATTACCGCCCCATACAATCGACTTTTACCCAGAGTTCAGAAAACGATCAAGGGCAGAAATTTAAGCAGATTTCCGCAACTATGATGAGCGCGAAAGCTCGCAAGCACCCTCTTCTCCAATTAGTAGTGGTAGAGAGAGAGAGAAGATGTCGAGAGGAGAGAGAAGAGAGATCCGAGAGACGAGGCGAGCATGCAGAGAGAGAGAGACGCAGCCAGAGGCCCCGCGAGCCAAAGAGGAAGATGGGGCTTGCGAAGCTTCCCGCCTATGCTCTTAGTCTCCGCCCACTTCCCTTACTACCCGGCTATCGTGGAATGTGTCTTTAAGGCAGTCAATCGAGTTTTCACGCCCTCGCGGATAAGGCAGTGGACTCACTTAGTAATGGGCTAGAAATGATCCTATGGACTGTGCAAACACTGGGAGGCATCGCTACTCCTACCCCATCAACATGTAAAAAATGAGATATTCAGGAAAATACTCACTTCTGTTGGACGGGGTCGACAATGGCACCACACCATGAACGTCCTGCTTGTGTTGTCGCAAGAGGTGTCGTGATTTATGCTCCGTATGACAGATATCACATCTAAAACTTGCTGACTTAACTCCATAGCAGATCAACAAGTCAGGGAAACCCAGTATTGGGCAGTCGGGACCCTGAAACTTTAGCAAAAAAAATTACCCACCTAAATGATAGCGTACCCATACGCTCTTTTTCCAACGTATCAATATTGGCAATAACCGTCTTATTCTCATCGATCACTATGCCATGCATTTTCAACATATGTGTACGTAAGAAGTATTTGTTACACACCTACAACAGTTTAAAATTTGATCAATAAATCTCCTATCTCATTAATTTCTTTTTTATCCGCCAAAATATCCGTCTTTATTTAAACAACCTCTGAATAACCAACCTCTTTGTTACACAAATCGCAATAGTTCTTGCCATTCGACGAGTACTGACGTTTCACTGCACCCGCTTGTTTTGGCTAAAAACTCGCCGATCAATAGTTTGGTCGCGTCAATCGATAACGACCCTATCGCCATCAAACTTACCGTATTCATCGCGCTCAGTGAATCCATATCGGGCATCTGGAACTGTTGAGGTAATCCACCTGGCAGCATAAAGGGCAACGACGGGAAGCCTTGTGGCAACAAACCAGTGAGCAGTCTGAAAAATCAATATCAATCAATATTGGCAGGACAACGAGTGGGGCAAGGAACAGTAATATTTCTCTCAAGAACCTTATACCATTCCTTCGACACAGAAGGGTTACCCACAGGTACTGCAGAAACAGTGAAAAATTGATTTTCTAACAAAACAAGGCGGTAGCTCAGGGGCGTGGCCAGAAACTCCTATGAAGATGGCGTGTTTGGAGTTGCAAACCAGAACAGGGCACGGCGACAAAATGTCTTGTTTAGCATGTTCAATTGAAAAGGCGCTCTGTTGTCCTGAATCTAACGGGGGGGG